ATTTTATAAATAATTTCATTAAAACTTAAATGAATTAAAAATTTGCCAACCTTTAAATTTAATAAATACACCCTTGAATATTGACATAATACAAAAAAATGCTTTAAATAACAAATAAATTTTAATTTGAACTATTATTTAAACGTATAATATAATCTACAGATTAATACAATTATTATAGTTAATATAATCAATAAAATTCTTCAACCTTTACATTGATATATTTAACATTAAATATTTAAAACTACAAACACATTTAAAGATTTTTTCGAATAAATTTTCCCCATAAATTATTATTGTTTCGAAAATTGATAATTTAAGTATATCATTTCATTATTTCATACTGAACTAAATTATACAACCACTACATTTTGTTAACTTAAAATGTTGAAAAATGTCAAACAATCTTATAAAATAATCGATACTTAATTCTTCTACTGCCTTTACTTATTATTTTTGGGTAAATTGACCCATCTATGACCAGGTAATAATATTTACGTGAATTCGACATATACATAATGTATATTTCAACGAGAAACTACAATTATATGTACCTTATCAGTATAAACATCCAGGCACTAAGAAAAATACTTTAAACATATTTCTAAGGATATGAACCTTTTAATGAACAAAATTTACTCATTTATTCTTTAATTTGAAATTTTAATGTAATAATAATGCAAAATTTTTAATAATTTTACTGCAATAATATGAATTACGTCACGTATTAAAAAAGAAAATTATAATTTTTTGTACATAATATACTTCAATTGCAAAATAAATTAAAAAAGTAAATTACATTTTCTATAAACAATAAACTTTAATAAAAAAATAAATTTTTTAACAATTTCTAAAACGAAAGTCCTTACATAATTTGTATACAATCCCCAAGACCAAAATGACCCCTTTTCATGCGGAAGTACACAAATGTCAAAAATACTAAATACTGTAAAAAGATTTAAATTGAAAAAGGTTTCAAGTTAAAATTTTGAATTATTTAAAAAAGAATTCTATAAAAGTTAGTTTTTCTGGAAAATTTAGATTAATATTTTAATTAAATTAGCTAAATTTTGAATACAATTATATTTTTAATTGAAAAATTTAAGAATAAGCGAAATATATTAAAATTTAATTGGAAATCGTTTAATTTTAGACGTATTTTAAATGAAATTTCCATTTTTTAAACAATTAAATTCTTTAAAAAAATTTAAATTATTATTAAAAATAATTGATTGAGGAAAGTTAAAATGTGAATTACCTGTGAAATTCATGTAAATAATAATACCTGATGATTGACAGCGGCTACATTTGTAATTCATTATGTTACCTGCTTTTATATTTTAAATAATTTGCGATCTGAAAGAACAAATAAACTCCTTTTTTATTTGGGCAATTTTGAAAGGTATATGAAAGTTGAGTGACGGACCAAATAATAGAAGTGGTTTATTTAACCCTTTGACAGCCAAGTAGAAATCCCATCTATTCTTATTTATACACATACATATATAAATATGTATTTACTTCTTTAAATATAAGAACAAAAGAATTCAATAATTCTTTTTTTAGAACAATTAACACATTAACAAATAATAAACAGAGAAACATATAATTAATAAAAGTAATATAAATTAGTTACATTAAAATATCCAATTAGGCACAAGAAATTACACTGAGAAAATAATATCAACTTCTGATATTTCTGATGTCAAATATCGACAAGCTGGTGCTTTTAATTGAATTAAATCACATTTAACAAAACAATCAAGCGTAATTCTTTTGCTTTGTTCTTATGCAATATCCCAGTGCATACTGGTAAATACTAAAAACATGAAAACAATGTATATAGTTGGTAAATCTCGTTCCCAAAAGTTAATCGTAAAGGTGACTTTACAATGGTAAGGGTGCACAATCCCATGGCAACGCTTTTCGTTCCGTTTTGTAACTAGGCCATGCGTGTAAGAGAGATGGAGATATATGATGTTGGTTATATTTGCACGCATGGCCTGGGGCCGTATTCTCGAATCGATGACCCTAGATGTCGCATGCGACATACCATGCGAGATGGAGAAAGCTATTCTCGAACGATTGTCGCATGCGAGATTTCATATCGTATGCGAGAATTGTCGAATGGTTCATCTCGTGTGGATTTTGGCATTCGAAATGTAAAGTCGCCTTCGAAATAATAATATTGTAGGTACATGTGTTTCAACATTTCTTAATGATATTTTATTAAAAGTGCTTTAAAGGTATGTATAATTATAATAAATATAATACAATTATAATTATTGTATATATATATAATTGTAAAATTAAATTAATATTTACGTTAACGTTAATGAAGTAGTATAACCTTGGAATAAGTGAATTGTTAATTGATATTTTTATACTTTTGCAATAATAATTGGCTTCTTTTAAAGTCCTTTGTTTTTTAGTTAATAAAATGGATTTAATTTGTAAACAATATTACGATTTATTAGAGACCAAAAAGAAAATGATTTAAAACTTTATTTTATATATATAACCTAAAATATGAACCTATTTAAAGGTTTAAATGTTAGGTTATAAGAACTGTTTTGAAAATCATTATTACTCAATCATTCTCTTTATTAAATAAAAGCATTCGATTTATGGTTTTGCAAATGAAGTTGATATCAAAATAACTACATGGTTAGAGAAATTAAAAGAAATCTTTTTTTCAGATTTTCAATAATGGATATGGCATTGCGAAATGCTATTCAATTACATATCGCTGATCAGCTAGAAAATGTGGTTGACTTTAATGAAAGGTAATTTCACGAGAGACAAGATGCTTTTGAATTAACAGATCGAAAGTTTATAAAACAGTTTAGATTAAAAAAGAATTAGTAGATACAGTCATAGACACTGTGGAAACAAATTCAAGAGGAGGCTTAAGGGCATCTGCATTAGATCCTTGTACACAAGTAATTAAAAATTACAATTTTTAAAAACAATCTTTTGTTTCTTAATATAATTGAAATGCTTAACAGAAAAATTATTTGTTTATAGGTTTTAACAGCATTGCGTTTTTATGGAGCTGGGAGCTATCAGAATTGTATGGCGAATAATGTCAATATGGCTATAAGTCAATCATCCGTCAGCAGATGTATTACTAATGTTAGTAATATTTTAAATCTACCCGAAGTTTTTAACAATTGGGTACATTTTCCAAGCACTTTAAACGAATTGCAAGAAATTCGTAATAAGTAAGTTAATAGAGTATAATTTATTAGAGTATGACCATTATTTTAGCAAGTTTGATTTTAACAAACTATTAAAATTTATTTAATAGATTCTGGGAAACGCATCGTTTTCCTGGGGCAATTGGATGCATAGATTGTACGCATGTAGCCATTTATCCGCCATTGATTTAAGATAATGTTTATCCTGAGCACATATACGTCAACAGGAAACAATATCATTCCATTAATGTACAATTGGTAAGAATGTAATATTAAAAATGTTAGAATAATGTAGAACGCAATTCTGAAATTTTTATGATATATACTGTTATTTTTAGATATGTGATCCAGATTTAAGAATTATGAATGTAAACGCAAGATATCCTGGAAGTACTCATGATTCTTATATTTGGAATAATAGTAACATCTTGCCTATTATGCAAGAAATTCACAACCGAGGACATTCATATTTTTTGTTAGGTATTGTACTCTTACTATAAATTTTTGTCTACTGACAACATTAAAAATAGTTTAAAAATTAAACGTTAATAAGGTTATAATGAATTATATCATTTATGTTTACGTAGGTGACTCTGGTTATGCGCAAAGACCTTGGATGATGACTCCTGTACTTGGAATGCAACAAAACCTACCTATGATAAATTATAATGACCGACAAAAGAGTACTAGAGTACTTATTGAGCGATGCAATGGTGTTTTAAAAATAAGATTTCGATGCCTGATGAAGCATAGAGTTTTGCATTATAAGCCTGACAAATGTTCAAAAATCATCAATGCGTGTACAGTATTACACAATATGTGTATTGATAATAATGTACCCCTGCCTGTAAATAATAATGATCCAATTGATATAGACTTTGGCATGTATGATGAAAATGAAAGAAATGGTGAAAGAGACGCAATTGATGTTGCAAACAGAAACGTGGATTTAACGGCTGGACGAAGAGCGCGAAACATTTTAATTAGAAGATTTTTTTCATAGCAAATGATATATTTTTTAAATAAAAAAAACTTTGGTAGTAGTTTATTTTAATTTTGCCTGGTACATTATTTAAAAATTAAACTTTTATTGTATAAACATATTCAATACCTATGACTAAAAAACAAATAATTTTAAAATTATTCAGACTTTTAGTTCTAAATACTTAATAAATATCACGGAGAAAAATAGTTTTTGATTTAATAGTTGTTAAAATAACTTTTGATGTACAAGATATCTTGGTATGATTGTACTTAAACATATTTTGTTCACACTATTTTGAAATACTGTACATTTATTTATTTCATCAAAAACTTTTTTATTAATCAACAAGTTTTCTTAATTTGTATGTATATCACATTTGTAAATCAGTTCCAAAAATTTCAAAAACTATTTTTCTCCGTGTATTATTAATGATTAAAGTTAAGAAGAAACAAAGTAAAATATTTAATCCTAATGTAATGAGTATTTTATATAAGCATTTTTTTACACAGAGAGAAATAATTGTTGAAATTTTTCTATTTTTTCAAGTACAAACTTGAAATCAAAAATCAACAAGTTTTCTTAATTTGTATGTATATCACATTTGTAAATCAGTTCCAAAAATTTCAAAAACTATTTTTCTCCGTGTATTATTAATGATTAAAGTTAAGAAGAAACAAAGTAAAATATTTAATCCTAATGTAATGAGTATTTTATATAAGCATTTTTTTACACAGAGAGAAATAATTGTTGAAATTTTTCTATTTTTTCAAGTAAAAACTATGGTTTAAAGTGCATTAAAAAAACTTGTGTTGTACTTAACATAAACACATACTGAAAGTATGCATAAGCATAATTCTATTTTCATAGAGTTCAGAATATTCAATTATTTTAATATAATTTGGAATGTGTGTAATAGTTTTGGTTAAAGATATTATTTAACTAAACTATACTTATTTAACAAATTGTACTCTTTGGTAAATCTTAAATCTCATTTTTTCTTAAAATTTAATGATATAATTAATTAAATCTGTATAAAATATATTTATATAGTTATATAATATATACTAACATTATTAAAATATATTGATAAGTAACAAAAATAAAAGTTATTGAGATTCATATTTCTTTAAAATTCCTTCTAATGCTGAACACAGCCTTTCTTTGGCAACTACGTTTTTTTCTTTTGCAACTACAATTCTTTCTTTAAGCACAAGTTTTTGCTTATAAAAGTTAATTTTTTCAATGTAATAAAGTTTTCTCGATTCACAATCGTCTCGAGTAACATCAACTAACTTTTCTGTTTGTTTAATTGATGTGTCGTACCTCTTAGCAGCAGACGTTTGTTTTAAAGTTTTTTTATTTGCAGTCTGAGAAAGGGAGTTGGAAGTGCATGGTGGTCCTACAGTTTGTATATTTTCTTTGGCATTAAAAGACGTTGATGGAATTGGTTCTTCGAGCAATTCCGGTCTTAGAGTTGCTATGACGCTTTCTTTTTCCTCCTCCAAATATTCCAATTCTTGTGAGGGATCATCGTTCCACATCTGCGAAAACAAAAGTATCAAACATTAATACTTTTATCCTACTCTAATATTTTCAGTTCAATAAAATAATGTTCACATACAAATACAGCATCTGGTTCATGCACATTTGCGTGCCCATCTAATACTGTCGAGCATATTAATGATAAAACAGTTTGATCAGTATCAGTCAATATTTGACTTGTAGGTGGTCCACCTCCTGTTTGTTTAGCGGACTTTTTTATTGCACTATTCTTTGCCTTGGCTGCATATCGCATATCTTGCCACGCCTAATAGTGTAATATTATATATAGTGTAATATATTATGAAAAAATTTGTTAATTAAAAGTGCAAATACCTTTCTCCATTGTTTCCATTCTTTCTCTGCGCCCGGAACTTTATTCAATTCTGTTGCTATTTCTTCCCAACATTTTTGAGCATCTTTCGTAGTAAAAGTGTTGGAAAACTTTCCGCTCTGCAAATCAGGATTTCTGCCCACAAACTCTAGATATTTTTCAAGAATAGAAAATATTTTATAACATGATTACATGTACATAGTATTTTTAATAGTTTCATTTCAATTGAAAAAGATTTTTTAGTTTGAGGTTACGTGAACGCATACTTTATAAAGGAAAATAAATTAACATTTCATTAAAAATAAAAACATCTTTTTAAAAAACTTTGGTAGTAGTTTATATTAATTTTGTCTGGTACATTATTATTTAAAAATGAAACTTTTATTGTATAAACATATTCAATACCTATGACTAAAAAACAAAATAAAAAAAGATTTTTTAGTTTGAGGTTACGTGAACGCATACTTTATAAAGGAAAATAAATTAACATTTCATTAAATAAATTAAAAATCTGTACTAATAATGGATAATAATAATTTGAGATTTCTTCCACACCAAATATTTTTTCTAACACAACAGAACTCTTTGATTAATTATTTTTTATTTTACTTTATATACTTTAAATAAAATAATACTTACCTATAAGTAATTTTTTCTGTTCCTCATTAGTATATGCACATCTTACTTTCTTTGATGACATTTTTTATAACAATTAATTAATATTATTATTATTGATATTATTTTTCTTCTTTCTCTCCCCAATTATTCTTTATAGTTGTTTACTATTTACATTTTCCCTCTAAAGCAATTCTTATTGGATGATATTTACTTGAAAACAACGGCAACACTGTTGAAATATCGTGCACGGAAATTATCACGTAGCCTATATCGAAGGGTTGTCGAGAATAAAGTTTCAGTCTCGCATGCGATAATAACCGTTCGACAATTTACGCGTTCGAGAATTATCATACGCTTTCGAGAATCGGGCCCCTGGTTACAAAACACAACGCAAAGTACGGTCTCAGCTCGGCTGCCTAAGGGTGCGATCACATGTTAGCAGATGTCGGCGTAAAAACGTCAAAGCGTCGGCGTCAAAACGTAAATGCATGAGAGTGACAGAAACAACCTTATATCACTATCTCGTTCACTCTTATACTTTAACGCCGACGCTTTGACGTTTGTACGCCGACATTGGACGACACCTTAATGCCTATCTGTAGATTTTCATGCAGATTGTCAACATATAAAGCTGCGGTTACACCTCTGCAGGCTGCCTGCCTGCGCAGGCAGGAGCAACGAGAGTAAGGGAGAAGTTTGAAGTCACTGACTTAGGGATGGAAAAGTCGACTTCGACTTTAATCGAAAGTCGACTTTCGCGAGTTAAAAGTCGACTTATTACAGTCGACTTTCTGAAAATCAAAGTCGACAAGATCGACTTTGCTTGTTCGATTTTAGAGTAAAAACAGTTATATTTGATAGAAAGTTCGTTAAATCGTTAATTTCAGTTTAAATTATTTATTATATAATATATTATATAATTATATATTGTTGATAATTCAATATTTCTGTTCTGAATATATTAAAGTAAGTATTTAACATTTTTCTTTCTATATTAAAAGAAAATAAAACAATAAAGTAGGTGATCAATTTACGACAATTTATTTTACGAAAAAATAACGCAGCCACGGTTTAATTCAGGTTATAACCTATAAACCGAGATTATTTAGTTTTTCCGTGAAATAATTTTTCGAAATTTGATAACATATATCTCAGTTTTAAACCTCAGTTATAAAAGTTAAAAATTTTCGATTTTTAAGGTTAGAATTTCGAGACTTTGTTTTCATTCATGGGACCAAGTGCGGTGTGGACATATTTCACAAAAACTTGTCAAGGGGCAAAAGTGAAATGCAACCAATGCAATCAAGAACTATGTTTTAATAAAAGCACTAGCACTCTAGCTTATCATTTGCGTGTCATTCACAAAATTGAAATACCAAAACAAGTTCCTAAAGTGCCGAAAAGAGGTATCAAGAGACGAAGAGAATCTTCTGCTGAAGCTGAGACAATAAGTGATTCTAGTGATGTTGACGATGTGGAAAATAATCAAGTAAATATTTTTGGTGACTAAAGTCTTACAATTAAAGTAAACAACTTAGGTTTAAAATTTTATAGGCTTTTTAATTTTATTTTACTAACAGTACAATACCTTCTTTTTATTTGTTTTAAATATTTATTCTATAACTTATTTTAATTTATTTTAAAATATTTAAATTTAGGATAATAATTATATAATATAATAATTATTATTCATACTGTAAATAATTACTGATTATAATATCAGTATATAATATTCATACTGTAAAATTTATTTTGCATAAAATTTTTTTTTGAGATACAGGTCAACCAACCAGAATCATCAACTGAGAGTTCCAATTTTACACTTCGAAATTCCTCTAAAACTGCATCCATTTCATTTTCCGGCCCAATGGACAAATGCATTAGCAATGCCACATCTTTTTCAGGTAAAATCCATGTCATGATATAAAACTTCCAATTGACTGTTTGTACTATTATTTATTTAAAAATATTAATAAAATATGCGGTAAAATTATACGTTACAAAAAAGGTATCTGCAATTAATATTTTTTTAATTCAGTTGGCGGAATAAGAGATATTTCTGTAATGGATGCCCTTCTTTTTATGATTTCGAAGGACAATATGCCACTTTCAACTACAGAACGCAGCGGCTTTAGATTATTCGTTAAAAAATTACAACCGCTGTGGAATATTCCATCTGAACCTACTGTTACCAAAAAACTTCAAATGAAGTACGAGTTTTTAAGAGGATGTGTAATGCAGAAAATATCGAAAGCAGATTCCGTCTGCTTAACTACAGATATTTGGACCCACAAGCACACAATGCGTAGTTATTTAGGAATTACAGCTCATTATAGGGAAGGTAAACTAAAAAAAAACTTAATTTGTTCTTCAATTGCAAAAATATATTTCAAAACTATATAATAGTTTTTAATTTTAAAAAATTGAAAATGAACTTATTTTAAATTTAATTTTAAATTTTGATTTTAAGTACTTTAAAAAATTGTTTTATTTTTTATTTTTAGGTGTCGAATTAAGATCAATAGAAATTGGCGCTAAATTGATTGAAGATCGTAAAAATATTCCTAATTTACGGAAGGCTTTGCGTCAAGTTTGCGATGATTGGGGTATTACGAACGACCAAATTTCTGCTGTTATTAGCGACGGAGGTGCTAATATTAAAGGAGCAATTCGACAAGAATTTGGAAATGAAAAACATTTATTATGCCTAGCTCATCTCATCAATGGCATTGGACAGTCTGCAATTGGACTTAATGATTACACAGTTTCATCTATGATGGAAGAAGATTCATTTGAAAATTTAGAAATCGACCAAGAAGGGGATGAATTTAGAGAACCAGAAGACAATAGACAAAACTTGAAATTTCTTATTAAGAAATTGAAGAGTATCGTAAGGTTTTTTAGAAGTAGTGAGGTTGCAACTACTGAACTTAAAAAACTTCAGGAAAAATCTGGCAAAAGTCCTCATCATTGTTTAATCTTAATACAAGAGGTTCGCACTCGTTGGAACTCTTGTTTCGAGATGATTGAAAGATTCCTACTGCTCGCCGATCATGTTAGTCGAGTCCTTATTCAGCTTAAATTAGATAAAAATACAAAATCTAAAGTTCCAAATATGCTATCAGGAGATGCACTAGAGACTTTAAATGAAGTGCAAAATCTATTGAAACCACTTTATCAAGTGACAATGGAAGTCGTCAGCGAGAAGCAAGTCACAATCAGCAAAATTATACCCTTAATAAACGCCTTGAAGTCTGTATGTAAAGTTTTTCTCAAGAGTAATTATTATTTTAATGTATTTGTATATTTAAGTTATATTTCTTAACTTATTACAGAAAACAAACGAAATGATGGCATGCACCCCGATTGGATTTAATTTAAAACATAGCCTAATCACACTAATAGACACTAAATTTAATGGGATAGAAAAAGTTCGAATTTATGCGGCTGCTACGATGCTGGATCCTAGATTCAAAAAAGGCGGGTTTACTGATCCTTTAGCGGTTTCAAATTGCATAAGTTATATTGGTACATAAAAATTCAAATTCATAATCATTAAAGTATTTTTCTTATAAAATTAATTATTAATTTAATGTTCCTTATTTTTTTTGAAAAACTATGCAGCTAAACTGGTTGTGAACGAAATTGGAAATCGAAGAACAGAAGTTGAAAGTATTGAGGAAATAAACGACTTGCAAGCAAATGAAAACAATGACGACTTGTGGTCAAATTTTGATAGTAGTGCCCGAAACGATGATTCTGGTGCTTATCAAGACGTATCGGAAGGTTTTCCGATAGAATTAAAGCATTTTATTCGCATTCCTGCAATTCCGAGAAAATTGACTTCAAATCCATTATCTGCTTGGGAAGGACTGAAAAATGAGTTTGCCCATGTGCATAAAATAGCTTTAAAGTTTTTACCCATCATGGCAACATCAGTTCCTTGTGAACGATTATTTTCCCATGCGGGACTTATAGCTAATCAACTGCGGAACAAATTATCTGGCAAACATCTTGATCAACTCGTATTTCTTCGAAGCATTGATCCCGATATGTGGTTCGATGAAAATTAAGTTTCTTCGTTTAAAAAATTATCAAATTTACATTGCGTTATGTAAACGTTAATATTAATTTTTCTATAACATGTGATTAAATGAAGACTGAATACAAAGGCTGATTCAAACTATAATTTTTTTTAAGAAAATAAGCAACGTTATAAAAAGCATAATGTGTAATTAATATTTTAATATGCTCACTTATAAGTTTATAAAACAAAAAAATAAAGAATCGTACAAAATTTTGCTGTGAGTTAAACTTTTTAAAACAATGAAATATTTATCATTTTAATCGCCATACAAATAAATTTAAATGTCATTATTTTCTTATATCAAAAATTTCACTGTTTGTATACATTTTACTATTATTTTACTATTATTAATGACAATTAAATTTTTTTAAATAAAGTCGACAAAATCGACTTTTTGATTCGATTAATCGACTATGAAAGTCGAGAAAGTGAAAGTCGATTACGAAGTCGAAAATCGACTTTCAATTCGCGTTTTCCATCCCTACACTGACTCTCTTACTCTTGTACGTTACCATGACAACCTGCAGGCAGGCAGGCTGCCTGCAGAGGTGTAACCGCAGCCTAAGAGTAAGAGAGTCAGACAATTCAAATTATATGCTTTAAATGTGACTGAACCATTTACATATAAATATCTATTAAATTGTAAAATAAATTATTTAAAAATAGTTTATAAAAATCATATCAAATAATCACAATTTCTTAAGTTATTAAATAATTTAAAAAATTTTTACTTACATTTTTCATTATTAGGATACAATAACTCGTTTTTTAACAAGGCATTTAATTTTAATAAATAATTTCACATTCAAATTGATTATAGTCACTTATTAACAACATCGTGCGAACTCGGTTTGAATTTTGTTTTGATAAACCTATGACTATGTCTCCACCGTCGGTATTTAGCCAATCCGGTGTTAAATAAATCCTGTAAGATGTGCGTCTCCACCGCTAAGATTAACGTAACACCGATGTAAGAGAAATACCGGATTGGGGCATGCGCCTTGTAAAATTGGTTCCACTTTAAAAGCGAGGCCGTCTCCACCGTATGAAAATCAGTATTTAATTAATCCAACCTTGCACTCCCAGCAGGATTGGACTTATTTAATACCGACCTGTCTCCACCGCGCATTTTCGATATTTGTCAAATACCGAATACACTTGCTCCACAAACTCAAATCATGAGTTAGAAAAGAACAGATATATGTGTGTCCTTTTCTATAGCATGCATCTCGTTTAAAAACTAGTTTCGCGAACCTATTAAACTTCAAAATATTAGCAAATGATGTTACATATCCTGTATTTATCTAAAGGACAAAACAAAACAGAAGCATAAATGAAATCGTAATCCCAATAGGAAACGTAATAATAAGTTGGATAATAATATGTACATTGTTCGTCCTTCTTTAACTTAAGACGCTTATATACCGCCACGTTTTTGTCTCCCATACCCGATTCAGTTGTGCTTAGACCTTAAAGGTGTCAAATGTGGTTGGTTGGTGAATGAAATTGTTAATTTTCATTGGCTAAAATCTAAATTGACAGTTTCCATGCTCTCATTTAATGGTGTATTTACATCTTCGGTAAAAATTGTCCAGAATAGAACATATATATTGGAGTAAGAGAGACATACTGTGTATCAGTTTCTCTTACTCCAATATGGATTATCCGTTCTGGACAATTTTTACCGAAGGTGTTAAGGCCAACGCAGAATAGATCTGTAACCGGAACCGCAATCGTAACCGTAAGCGTAAGAATGAGTTAGAGAAGGATAAACAATATACCTATCCTTCTTTAACTAATTCTTACGGTTACGCTTACGATTGCGGTTCCGGTTACAGATCTATTCTGCGTTGGCCTTAAATGCTCCATGATGCTTATTGGCCATCACACAACTGCTTAGGGAAACTCATTCTTAAACGAGATGCATGAGATATAAAAGGACATAAATTTATCTTTGTCCTTTTCCAACTCATGCTTTGCGTTCACGAAGCAGTTGTACTTGGGCATTATAAAGCATTTACACCTTTGATAAAAATTGTACAGAATAAAAAAGTAAATATTATGCAATTACTTAAAAAACAAATAAATCCAATATACACCCAAATGTTGAAAACATTTTAACGGAAATGATTCTACTTTTCAAAATTCCGCCAGACCGGGAAGACCACATATATGAGTTTAGTTATGTTTTTTAATTGCAGTAGGGTGTTACCTACGGTAGAAACACCTTTACAGTTCCGAATGAACATAAGTACACCCTGATGCATTAATGTTGTCCTTCCGGTTTTGATAGCATTTTAAAAAGTCGTGACATATTTATCAAAATGTTTCTAGTTTATGACGTAAGGCCTAAGCACAAATGCTTCGCGAACAACGTTCCCGAACGCAAAGCATGAGTTAGAAGAGGACAATTATATTTTAATGTCCTTTTCTATCTCATGCATCTCGTTCGCGAACGACTTTTACGAATACGGATAGGGGAACAGGGCATGAGAAAGAAAAAGACACAGACAGCTTCTGTCATTTTCTTTTGCATGCCCTGTTCCCGTATCCGTATTTTTTCGGCCAACAGGAATACAAATGCACCCTTAAGCTCATCAATAAAGGTGTGTCTACAATAGTTTGAGAATGAATTTAATATATCTAATTCAAAGTAAATTCATAATGTGCAAATAAATTTGCGATAATGTACTTTGAATTAACACATTTAAAATAAATTTATACGTAAAATATGAATTTAGTTATAATTAGATAAGACAAATACATATGCTAGCTGTTGTAGAAAAAAGCTAGCTGTTGTAGCTGTTTTTATTAAAAAAATGTTGTCTACGTTGCTGCAAAGCATGAATTAGAGAAAAACTAAAGGTCCTTTTCTATCTCATGCATCTTGTTACCAAACCTATTGTGCATTTCGTAAACTCGTTATGGCACGGTCACACCTCGGCTGCCTGCCTGCCTGCGCAGGCAGCCGCCACGAGAGTAAGAGAGAGGAGACGAATAATTTAAATTGTCTGACTCTCTTACTCTTACGTATTGCCATGACGACCTGCAGGCAGGCAGGCAGGCAGCCGAGCTGTGACCGTACCATTACGTTGATTTTGGATTCGATTTAAGGTGCAGTTCCATGTGTGCAGAAACCGTAAATATAAATCATAGGTACAAAAGAGATAGTGCTGTCTGACTATCTTTTTTACACTCATAAAATTCTAATTTCGGTTTTACGCTTTCTGCTTAGAGTACCTTCACACGAAACTTTAACATTTAAATTAAACGTGTAATATAAGGTTTATTATTATTAATATTGTTTATTTATTGACGAAGCATGCGCATAGGCATATTGAAATATTTCAATGAAATTTCTAATCTGTGCAATGAAAAATTGAAATATATCTTGCATGAAATTTTTCCTGTCCTCACAACCCTAGAGAGGGACATTAGTTTGTTTAAGGGCATGTTATTTGGAGGTCACGTGACTATTGAGAAAAATTTTACTATTTTTTTATGTAAAACTGCTCCTAACAGGAAAGGAATTTTGTAAAAATATTTTACTACATGAAAGAGGGCATGATTTTCAATAAGTGTTTAGTATTTATTTTACATTTGGTTAAAAACAAATTTTTGTTAATAATTATCGACGTGACTATTGGAAATTTTTTTACTAATTTTTTATGCAGCACAGCTCCTAAAAGAAAAGGAATTTTGTAAAAATATTTTACAACATGAAAGTGCCCTACTAAAAATAAAATCAGGAATGGTCAGACAAATGGTCAGGCCGCCTGACCACTTTAATCCAGTTTTCTTACGATTCTGGATGGATCTCGTCAGAAATCTATCACAACTGATCAGGAGGAAGTTTAAAGTGGTCACAAGTTTGCTACTATCCCCTCCTCTTTGTTGACCACGCCCATAATTGGTGACTATTTGAGACCATTTGTATCTCATTTTTGACCATATTTTTAAGCCACTTCTGTTTTATTTATTTAAACAATATGCAGAAAGTTGCAACAAATTAATTTTAAAAAATATATTTTATTAATTAATATCAGTTTGTTTACATACGGAACAACTTGAAACTAATTCCCGGATATAAATTAAAATTTGGAACATACGGGGATCGAACCCCGACGCATGACCTAACCTAGTGCCTAAACTAACTGCCCTAACGACTGCGACTACCGAACCGACTTACATATTTCTGGATTCAACTGTCTATATAAAGAGCAACTGTAAAATAGTAAAATTCAATTACCAATATTATCAATAAATCAGAATAAACTGTTAAATAATTTTTATAAATTAATTATATTTCAATTTAGTCATAATAGGTTATGTGAATTAATAAAAATTAACATTATTAATTGAATCAATAATAAATTAAGTCTTTACTTTACAATTTGGAATGTTTCATAAACTATAATACGAATACAGATTAATAATAATTATTATTATATCTGCATTTAAAATGAATTTAGTATTTAATATTAATTAAATTTAACATTATAATTTATAATAATAATGAATTATTAATGCAATATTGAAATTTTTATAAATTTTAAATTTAAATTATTAATAATCATTATAGTAAGAAATTATTCTATTAATGATTAATAATAATTTAAATATAACTGTATTTCAATTATAATGCAAATACTTCTCATAATAAGTACTGACTGGTATAGTAAATTACTAATATTATGAAACAAAATTTATTATTAATTAACTATATTAAATAATTACAAGTAAATATACATATATTAAATTAATATATTATAAATATACATTAAATAAATATATTAAATAACTAGGGGGGCTTCGCCCCCCTGCGCGCTTCGCGCGCCAACCCCCTATTTTTTTTACTTTTTTATAATTTCTAAATTCTACATTCTTCTTTGAACTTGCTTCTTTGAATTAATAGCATTGATTAATATTAGTTTTAATAGCATTAAATATTAATATTGGTTTTTAGCCAACTTCATTGAAATTAAA